TAAAATAAAATAAAATAAAATAAAATAAAATAAAATAAAATAAAATAAAACAAAATAAAAATGACCACTGAGCTTTTGCTTTTTTACCACACTGGAGAGAAGTGCAAGCCAACAGATTGCTGGTACAACTCTAAGAAACATTACTGGTAAAACAATCTTACATTTGGTTTATGAGACATAGTAAGTAAGAATCAACGTGGACAATCATTCAGAAGAAGAAAACAACAGAAAATGTAAGGCAACATTAACTGAAAGTGGAATAAAATGTAGCAGAAGATGTTAAGTCTCCCAGATATCACAAAATAAAAAAAAATCACTTTAGATTTCAGGAGTGCTGGAGCTATATACTTTCATCTACTGGCTAGTTTGGTCTGTTCTAGAACATTAAACTAAGCTAGATACTAATTTGAATTCTCTAATAATGATGAGCCACAATTAAACAGATATATTAATGTTGAAGAATAAATAGAAGACAGTGAGAATTTGTAGCTAGTAAAAGAGCCAGTAATGCATTTTTATTTTCAGCCTATGAACACCTATGAACCATAGCTGCAATACAAATGAAGATGCTTCAAACAGGCAAAATTCAGAATTCCTGAGTTACATTATCCTTCTGTGAGAAATACCTTGAGCTATTCTTTGAGTAGTTAAAAATGTATAGCAATCATTAGAAGGAGATTTGACAGCGTTCTTCTTTATGAAATAGCTCTAAGTACATGAATGGTTATTTTTTTAATTCTAAAACCTCAATAACAATGCCAAAGATTGCACTGAACAAAGGCATGAAATTTTAACTGACAACATATTAATGCATGCACCTAATTATGGAAGCATTTTTCTTCTACTCTTACTTGCTTTGCAGCTGTTTTTGTCTTACAAAATTAATGCTGAAACATATTTCTCGTAAGTAGACTTGCTATATCATATGAGCTATATCACTCAGTTGAACCCAACCACTGTCTCAGACCACTGCTATTTTTATTTATTTATTTATAACAAATCTTTTTTCATATAATTGAGTTACTGCTTGGATTAAGTTATTAATTTCAATTGATTAAAAATAGATTTCCCCATCAATTTGGGTATTACATGTCTACTCTACCATGCTGAAACATGCTGAAAGTTTGAAACTAGTATTCATTTCATAGTCACAAAAGAACTCGCAAACAAGAAGTAGCCTACTCCAGGTGCAGTATAATATTAAATCAAGATAGAAAATAAGAAAGAATGGCACAAAGGGTGTGAATAGAATAATTTTGAAACGCAACCTTTTTTATGCATGTTTATGGAATTTCTGTACAAGTAACATCATCGGAGTGCTGAATAATTTTAGGACATTACTGATAAATGGGCACAAGTTGATTATTCAAGATAAAGCTGATGGCCATTATCCTCAGCTGGACATTAATTCCCATGAAATGACTGGTATTGAGATAGTAATTACTATTATAATGAAACTGGGGAGAAAAAAAAAAAAAAAGCATGACATTTTTCTTATGAACCTGCCTCATTTTCTAAAGAATTAATGTTTTTTTCATCACTCAATCAAGTTGCCTGAATCATTTTTAACTCTTTATACAGTTTATTAATCTTACTACAGTCTTCATGTCACTGACCCCAGGTGAAATTTTGTATTCCATCATATATTCCGTGAATTCTGGGATCAGAGCAAGGGGCAACAATGATGGGAAAGAAATATTATACATCTCCGCCTAGAATTAGTAAGAATATGTCATAAAGCCATTTATTCTAAATCTTATAGTAAAATATAAAAGCATGTTGATACACAGCAGCTGTAGAAGTTTTTGTTCCAAAGCAGAATTCTTGTAGGTTTGAAACACTAACACTGTCAAATTAAATTGCCCAGCAATCATGACAGAAATTGGCCCTAAAAAGAGGAAACAAGCCTTAAAAATTTTACAAATGAAGTCAGTGGTGTTCTGAAATGTCTTCTGTGGAATCTTGAGCCTTATCATAGAATCACAGAATGATTTGGGTTGCAAAGGCCTTGAAGATCATCTAGTCCAATCTTCTTGCCAGCAGACCAACAAGCCAAAAGCCCCATCCAACCTGGCCTTGAACCAGGGATGGGGCACCTATGGCATCTCTGGGCAACCTGCACTTCCACTTCAGTGCCTTCCACCTCAAAGTGAAAAATTTCTTCATTATTTCTAATCTATATCTACCCTCTTTCAGTTTAAAATCATTACCACCATTACCACTTGTCTTATTACTACATGCCTTTGTAAAAAGTCAGTCTCCAGCTTTCTTGTAGGTCCCCTTTAAGTACTGGAAAGTCACCACATCTCCCCAGAGATGTTATAGGATAAATTTTGTCTTGCTGGATGGTTTAAATTCTTTGGAGAATTTGAGGCAAATCCTGATGACACACAACAGCTTGCCAAATAAATCTTTCAGCACTCAGTCTCAGCTATTGAGACTGGATCACTTGGTTACTTGGACAGAGTATGAGATGAAAAAAAAGTGCTGAAAGCTCTTAATGGCATGGAGTGAAGCATATTTTAGAATACATGATAAATCTTCTGGAAAAAGAGATAGATATTCTTGACAGCCAAAGCCAAAGCATGGTGTGTCAAATTTCTGAAAGAGAGGGAAAAATACTAATTTATTTGGGAGCAGGACATTAAATGAAGGAAGACTGAAATAACAGTGACAGGGGAACTAAATGTTATTATGCATCACAGCAGATAATAGAATTTGACAGTATAGTGAAAAATCTAGAGTGTATTGTTACTAGTGATAGATCAACAATTGAGTTGCAGTGTAGTTATTGTGTATCTGCCAGCCAAAGCCAGAACACACTAGAGTGACCCATGTGCAGTGGAGGAGGTCAAAGTCTATGCAACTCCAGTTACACACAGATATTAACAACTGTAAGCAAGAAAAAAAAAAAAAAAGATCAAATTAGACAACATACTTCTAAATTTCTAAATAATTTTCATTTCATTGCTTTCTGTTAATCCAAAATCAGTTTGGGCTTTGCTACAGGTTTTGTGAACAAAGTACAAATCAGCACTGAGTGGATAGCATGTTATCAGTACTGCTGAAGAAGTTGCATGACTTGGGGAAAGACAATGTGAAGAAGGATGCTAAGCTTACACCAGACTTCTTCCCCAGCCAGTGTGTATGTGTGGAAATATATTTCCTGCTCTTTTTCCCTTGTAGGATAAACATCACATAAGGAAAAGAACCTACACTACACTGCTAACCTGAGTGGCAATGAAGAATGTTCTCATATGTTTCCTCTAAAACAAACCTTCAAAAAATGCACAAATATGTCTTAAGATTCTAAAGAACAGCTACTCTGTGGGGAATTGCAACATAGCAAGAAAACAAGCAGTCCTGAATAAATGCTGTCACCAGAAAAAAAAAAACAATGTTAATTACCGCGTTGCTGTTACTCTCATGTGGCACTCCTGTATTAGACGTGGAAAGTGCTAGAATGTTTTCCTGTAAACTTTAACTGTCCTTTACATTTCCATTAATAGGTATCTTATTTTTATAGAAATTTGTGTAAATACTCATGCCCATATTCAGTACACACCTGCTTCTGTTACAGCAAATTGCAATAATATCCTTTCTGCCAGCCTGTAACATTTCTACATTTACATTAAGTCCTGCTGGATCTCAGTGTTAAAAGTGACCTGCTTTTCCATCATTTTTTCATTGATCGTATAATATTCAATATTTTTTCTACTGCCCCAAATATTGGGAGCATCTGATTGGAACAAAAATGTTCAATATCTGAGAACATTAAGAAACAAATTCATTACACATCATGGTTGCAAAAGTGATTTTGCAATGCAAGTGTACTCTGGGAGTTTAAAGACCAAATTATTATTTTATTTAGGGAGTTCTGAATCACGATTTTGCAGTACTTACAGATGCAGCTGCAAGACATTTGTAAGCTGGAATTCCAATATAGTGAGTAGGCTATAGAAATACTTAGAGTAACATCTGAAACTTCTTAAGCTGGAGTCTATAAATAGTTTCACATTGAAAAAAAATAGCAGATGTAACAAAGAACTGAAAAATATCACTGAAGCATCGGGACCTACAGATTGTTGAAATACCTTTGGATCTGGGGTAATTTTTTAATTATTATTATTTAAAACAAACTAACAAAAAGACTAACTGCAATACTGTGGGCATGTTCATTACTGAAAACACAAGGAACAGACTTGGTGGAAGCACTGAACTTCTTTTCTACTAAAGAATAGGCTAGCAGGTAAGAGAATAAGAAATGCTTAGTTTATGGACAGCATGGAAATTTTTCAAACACTCTCTATTCTTGTGTTCCTCAAGGGGTTCTTGCAGCAAAGACTTACTATGCCTCGTTTCAAATACCTCAGTTTTTTTCCATCCTCTACACTTCTGCACTAGCAATCACTTTTTCTGCTTTCCATGTTTACTAAGCAGGCCAACTTCATCCTTTCAACCCCGTAATGTTAGAATATACCCCTACTAAACATACATCTCCTAAAATGAAACTTTTCTTCATCTATGGCTTTAATAGGAAAAATTTGATGAGACTGCTGTCAAGCTTGTAGCACTCTATTGCCTGAGTGAAGAAAACTGATGCAGCTAAAAGAGCTTAGATTAATTATACCCATACCAAGTCTTCCTGTCTGTGCATCCAAGTATTATTATGATGTATCACACTAAGCTCCAATTGAAATGACAATCATTTAAACAGGCAGATGATACATTTATGTGTAACACATCATAATTAAATATTTTTTAATTTGAATATTCAAACTCACCTGTTCAGAGAGAAATTGTAATAACCACTTTCCTCTAGAACCTCCTCAATTAAGGTCTGCAAGTTAAAAGAAATTCATTTCAATAAATTACCTTAATTATAAGCCATAAAATACATTAGTACATACATATAAAGCTTACCTGTAACTGCTCATATGTCATCCCTTCTGCTATTTCAGAAGTGCCAGCAATACCTTAAAGTAAGAGGCAAGTAATGTTATACTCCTGGGGTTTATGTTATTTTATCAGTTTCTTAGCAATTCTTGATAATTTAGAATGACACAGGATGTTTGTTAATTTTGGTTATCAGCAGTTTATTTCACTGACTGTAATGACTCCTTGCAAAAGCAGGAGGGATTCCATGGCATGATGTGGACATTTGAGTCACAAGATATTTCCACATTATAAAAGAGTCTCAATTGATGAAAAATAGTGATTTCTTTTAACTGTTTAATACAAAAGAACACAGCAACATAACATTCTTTTCCATTTACAGTTTAAAGTGAGAAGGGCACACAGCCAGCAGTAAATTCTGATGAAAGTATTATTTACAGATTAGGAGATTAAAAAATTACCAACATTGAATGTCTCATCAATTTGTATAGTTGTCTCTGGGAAAAAAAACAAACTTTACATTTTAAGTTAATGTTAGGGGTTCATTTCTTATCCAAATGTCACCCTCGACACCTAGTATTATTCTTATTTTTTGCATTAAGCCTAGAAATTACCAGTTTCAAGACAAAGGCCAGCAAAACCAAGGTTTCTCACCATTCTTTCTGGAATTATAGTTTTTAACTTTACTGTGTCCTCTAGTGCATTCATAGCTATATGTTTTTCTGCATTTAGAAGAATGGAAATGGCACAAATGATGAAATGAAGCTGCACATTTCTCTTAGGTTCCTTCAATAACCTTTGCACTGTTGAGGTATGTGACAGAACATGTCTCTGAACTAGAGATTGTGGTTCCTCAACATAGTTGCTTCCAGTTATAGTAGTTTTGACTAAAAATGGAATTCATAATTTGTCACTGAGTATTTCTAGTCCAAATTACATTTGATTCTATTTATTTTCTAAAATACATGTATACACTTTACACTGTGTAGATATAGTAATATAGTAATATAGAATCATAGAATTGTTTGAGATGGAAGGGACCCTTAAATGTCATTTAATACAACTCCCCTGCAATGAACAGAGACACCTACAGCTACATCAGGTTGCTCAGGCTGCTCAGAGCCCCATCCAGCCTGACTTTGAATGTTTCCAAGCAATGGGGCTTCCACCATCTCTCTGGGCAACCTGTTCCAGTGTCTTACCATCCTTACTGTAAAAAACTTCTTCCTCATGTCCAATCTAAATCTCCCGTCTTTAAGTTTGAAACCATTTCCCCTTGTTCTGTCATAACAGATCCCACTAAAGAGTCTGTCTCCTTCTTTCTCAGAGACCCCCTTTAGATACTGAGAGGCGACGATTGGGTCCTCCCAAAGCCGTCTCTTCTCCAGACTGAACAGCCTCAGCTCTCAGCCTGTCCTCTCAGGGGAGGCATTCCATCCCTAAAATTTCTGAACCATATCTTTTATTAGAAAAATACATGCCACTACAGAGGTTTTGTTTCTTTACCTTTTCTATCTTCTGAAACTAACATGTTGCCTGAAGATGAGAGAAGTACCATATGCCAATCTGCTGTAAAAAAGTTGGTATCAATCAATTCAGGAGAACCTTGGAGCAGCTGGGGGAAAGGAAAAAGAAATAAAAGATAAAAGCAAAGGACACCTAAAATCTCCACTCTTCCTGAGACTTCTGTAAAACAGTCCAGCCTTCCCTACATAAATCTCTGATTGGCAGTCTGCCTTTTTCTGTTTCCTACACAACCAGAAGTCAAAAAAGATTTCAACACATTTTAGCTTAATGAAACAGTAGTGAACACAAGTACAAATGTTCTACCTTCTTCTCTCCAGAGTCATCCAGTGAACACTGCAAGCTCCCAACCTGCACGTTGCATAAAACGCTGAATCGCCTCCAAACTATATTACTGTTATCCAACATAGCTGTAGTGGTGATTATGGTAAAATTCTCAAAATGTGCTTATATATAAATACTTATTTGCTCTTACTGACTCAAAATACGTGCCACTTCCTCACGCTTATCAATTCCCTATCATTCTCTTTTTGCTGTTTTCTGTTTTCTTTGAGATAGAAATGCTCAGAATTACATCCAGTATTTCTAACACCTTCAATTTACGACCATTCACTTTATAAATACTTCATTTCTTCCATTTTCCTCAGTTATAAGTACAGTAGTTTTGAAGTTAAAATCTTTACAGCTGAGAGAATTTGTAAAATTGAAAATTAGATTAAATGTTATAATAAACATTTCCTTTACATATCATCCTTTTGGGCACCCTTTCCTGGCAACACCCACTCAGTAACAAATTAATAGAAAACATTTTGTTAGACTCAGTGTTAAGGTTAAAACATAAGAATCAATTAATGTAAATGCAGGTTGATTTACAGAACAGCAAATATCCCTGAAACTGATAGCTCAAAGAAGCATCTTTAATTATCTTGGGGTGAGAGTCAGTCCATCCATAGCAAACAGTGACTCAGAAGATTGCACAATCCATTGTGGATAGGTGACAACCAGACTGGGTTAGATGGGTTGTATTATGTCTCATATCTGAAAAGGATGTTAAGCAATTGTCCTTGTCATCAAATTCTCTATACACTAATTAACAACTGATTTGTCATCAATTCAAAAATGAAATAGCTTCCATCTCCCACAAAACACAGAAGCTGAGAATGTGGCTTTTGAAACCTCTCCTGACTGTGTCTTCTCCAGAGATTTAAAAAGAACATTTAGAAATTCTGATGTTACTCATTAGCTCTTTCCCAGCTTTTTCCAGTGCTACTGGAAAACATGAAGGCATGGTTCTTCAGTCACGCGATTCTTGCAAATCTGTAGCATTTTTAAACTGATGATACTACACTCATGCTGACACGCTATACCACAGTAGGACATTCTGTATTTTGGACACAATGGATGATTTATGCTTTCTCAAAATTCATAGTTTGAGAGGGATGTCATGCCAAAATATCAATAATAGTAGCAATCTAATTATAAATGAAGAAGAGCTTACAAAATATGTTTCAGCTTTTGCCATTAAAAAGTTTATTTTTTCTTCCTTTTCCCTTTTTGAACTCTGATGAGATAAATTTTGTTTTGCAGGGCCTATCATTTACAATATGTGTTCTACTGATCAGAGATAAACTTGAAATCATTATGTAGCAACTGCTTACTTAAGAGAGCTCCATGTTTTCCCAATAAAGGATATGCTAAATTTCCTTTGAAAAAATGCAATTATTACACTCATATTCTTGTGATATTAATACTGATAGCTTAATTCAAATAGAAGAAGAGACGACAAATAGTAATTAGTATACTGCACCTTTTTCATTTCTGATTTCAGATTACAAGGATTGCTCTGCTGACTGAAGAGGGACTTCTTGAATCTCTCAATGACTCTCCTTTTCAAGTTGCACTGCAAAGCTGGAGGAAGCTACACGACACAGAGAAACAGATGTTTTCACCACCCAATTACACTTCCCATAAACTGCTAATCAGCAGTACCATTACTGAGAAAGTAGCTACAGTGCAAGAAGAAACATTAATGCTTAACAGCCTGGTAATAGGCAACAGTACAAAACCTGATTTAAATATATATTAAAATAATTCTCCTTAGATCGTTGATTCTGTTAGGCTTGGCAGATTATACAACTTAGTCCTTCTGGACTCAGAGGTAAGAGCCATTATATTAAGTGTAGTATAATTAATGCCAGATTTGCTTCCTTGATCTTTGAGATTTCAAAATCATTTTTATGCTCCAACAGTAATGCTGGAGCTTCAATAGCTTCAGCTGTTGGTCACTGCAGTCATATTGATAGTCACATCTGTCACCGATCCACTTGATCACCATTCCATACTATGCGCTAGTCTTTGGAGAAAATCTCCTGTTTCTCCATAGTTTATCTTCAGACAGTGTTTGTAAAACAATAATTTTCTGTTATTTAGTATACACTTTATAATCACTATCACTGATGTAAATTCACATAGTGCCACTCCATCGAATTCAGCAAGTTATTTAATTACATAAGAAAGCTTTGGCCCTTGATTCACATTCAAAGCGCTGTCACAGCGTAAATTACAAAGAAAGACTGTTTTGCTTCTGAAACAAACTACTGTTCTTAGATAGTTATAAATTTGGAACGTTATATTGGCCTCACAGGAGCCACTCCTAATTTCCTCTGGCAAACCACAGACTGAGTTTAAATTCTAAAACTTCATCAGACAGCTGGCTGCATACAGTTTTCTGTTGCAGATGAATATTACTGTCTTTTCAGGCCGATATATGAGGGGAAGAACATGATGCAAAAGAAATGGCTGCAAGATACTCTATAGGCTACATACCACTGCAATAACCATGTGCAGTTAATGTACCATGGCAATGCTGGGACATTCTGAGGCAACAGTGGTAAAGGACTAGTTCACTGCATGAAAAAATCAGCAGTGCTCTATGCAGTACTGTTCAATTTTAGCTTTTGTTTTAAGGAAATCAGATGCCAGATCAGTTAAAAAAAAATTAAAAGGCTGACGATTTACATTGTGCTTTTTTAAAAGCTTTCTCTTAAATTATTTTCCAACAGATCAGTCTGGCTCTTGTTCCCATGGAAACTGGACTGGGAAGGCTGCTTTGATTGCCAAGAACTAACAGCAAAGAACTCTGCCTTGTAAAGTTCAGTTTCAAATTGTCAGCTGAAATATGTAATTGGGAGTTGTAGAAACAACTATGTATTATAAAAAATATTCCACCTTATATCTGCAAGAATCTAAGCATTCAAAAAGCCATTGCACACAGGAACAAGTAGAGATTTGGATCCTGGTACCCCTACCTTCTAACTCTGAGACCAACTGTCACTGAAAGGTGCTACCACTGCCTCAGTGGCCAATCTAGATAGAGAGCCTTTGAGTTACTCTTAGTTCTCAGTTACAAGAACTGGCATTGACGAGTAGGACACTAGAGAAAATCTTCTTCACGATAGAGGGTAAGTTCATTAATATGCATCAGGCACAAACAAGTAATATAGTAATACAATAATACAGCACATAAAGTCTGAACTGCCTCATTTCAGTTAGCAGGAAATGGGCTTACTATTGCAATAACTTATGCCAAATCCAGTTATTTTAAATTACCATTTTTTCTTTGTTATAATAATTTATTTCCTGTTATCTCTTTCAATAGATCTGACAGTTTGAAGAAAACACTCAAGACATGTCCAATGCATCTAATTTCAGTTATGCTATTATGTTTTAAACAAGTTCGGCTCAGCAATCTGAAATGCCCTGAGGTGATAAACATCACTTCCAAATACAAACCATTCATTTTACAAAGTAAGAAGATGTTTATTTATGAACAGCATATTTTGCAAGTAACTGAATGACAATCATCTTTCTGGCAAACAAAAGTCTTCTATCACATTTTTAACTGAGAGCTCAATGCAGATTTATACCAGGTCCATTTTTGTTTCGGAATCAGCATGAAATAACTTTAACATTCTTTCATTATTAAACATTCAAACAATTTTAAAATAAGTCTGAAACTTGAAAAAATACATATTGACATATTAAAATATTTAAAATTCAATATTTAGGATAGTAAATCTAGTGTAATATTTCTTAAGAAATTATTACCACATATTGATAATAGAAATTATTATTTAGAAAATACGACTATAAAGGAAAGAATTTTATGTACTCTTCATGTCAGTGTGCAGCATTGTCACCTGAAATGTTCATATTGCTGACATGACAGAATGTTATAAAAATAAATCACCGTACAATCCATTTTTCTGAGGGGAACCAATGAATTTTTTTCATGACTCAATTATTGCCATCCTCCACACACTAATATTTGAGGTTAGTCTTCATTTAAATGATGTATTTTTAAAACATCCTGCCATCTGCAAAAATGTCAAGTTCTGTTGTTTTTAACGAACAGCAACTAAATTAGCAGCACTTTGACAACAGCAAATAACTGAAATGGATAGAATGTCAGAAGCAACAGTAATGCATACTTGAGTGATGAAGATAATTTTGTGCAGCTGAATAAGAATCTGCTGAACAGGGTCACTGATCTGACGCACTTTCCTTTGTGATACAGCAATTCCTGCCGATGCTGTAGATGACAACACTAAAATCAGGACAGCTCATTTTACTGCCTTTACATATTAATAGTGAGCACTGTTTAAAACCTGCAAATTTAAATATTGAGTTTTTATGCATGACCTGTTTTGCTAGTGGTGTTGGGAACAACAAGAACAAAAAAGAATAATCTGAAAACTTAAAAGTTTAGATAATGGAATTAATAATGGGTTTCAAAGGAAATCCCTACCTCTGATTCATTACACTAAAATTTACTTTATCTAAAAAAAACCTATATATTTATTAACATACCTCTCTAATGATAAAAGTTTTTCTATATTTATTCATAAGGGAATCTAAAGATACTATAAACATAAATTATTTTAACAAAATGATCTTTCTCTACGGAATAAAACACTTTTTTTCAAAAAAAAAAAGTATTTTGATGTCATGAAATTAATTCCCCTTTTACCACTAAGAATTCAATTATATCTTATATCTAACTTGGAGAATATTAAAATCTATTTTCAAATTGCCTTGTAGTGTTGTGTTTTGTTTTATCCCAGCTAATTCTTGTTTCCAGTGCCTAGCAGTAGCTTGTTTTGACAGAAAGATGTAGAAAATTTGCAAGAAGCTATGAATTTTCTGTGTCTTCTCTGTATTGCATCAGAAAGTTAGCACTTTCTTTTCTTTGTCAGAAATTCCTCCCCATGAGAGATAACCCTACCAAAAGAAGAAATAAGAATATACCCACGGAGATTGCTGGCTTTTTTAAAAAGGATATGGTAACAAGAATGAAAATTCCACTGAGAGGGAGAAATACTAAAATTAATTAGTCCATCACTGAACTACTACCATTTCTTCCTGTTGAATTTCTTTTTCCATTGACTCCTCTAAAAAGAGTCAGAAGGGAGACATTCACAGGTTGAAGTTTTTAGGGACTAACCAGATCTGAGTCGAAGCCTGCCACAAACTAAAGAAGTATGGACAATATAATTCTCCATGACAAAGAGCCACTTCTGGTATGATCAAGAAGACAGGGACTTCTTGTCAGATTTTTTGTTGCAATGCTTTTTGGCAGATAGGCTGAGAGGGGCATTACAGTTCTGCATTTTTTCTGGTCCCTTCCTAACCACCAAAAAGAGAAAGAGAGCATTTCCCTTGAGCTACTGAAAGAATTTAGCTTCATTTTTCAGCTAGGTAATGGTGAGAGCTATGTTGTAACAATCTAATACATGATATGCCACAAATAGAACAATTTTTTCTTTAGCTCTATTCATCTCATTTTCAGCAATCTGCCAACTGTTTTACCAATAATAGATTAAGTTCTCACAGCAATAGCATGGTCTTGTCATTACAGTCTTGGAATCTTCTGTTCTTGTTAGGACACCGATAAAAACTTATTTCCTCAACACATTACCTTTTTCACTGGTTCCTATCTTGTGGTATTTGACTTCTTTGTTGCTATTGGCTTGTGTTTAAAAAAAAAAAAAAAGAAAACAAAGCAAATAAATCAAATAAATCAGTCCCCTTTCTTTTACATCTCTAAGATGCTTTTTTTTTTTTTTTTTTTTTCCCTAGGAAAATCTGCTTAATATGAGAATAGAAATGGCTGAGCAGAACAGAACAGAACATGTATTTCTCTGATCTTCAGTGGATAGTGCTTTGTTCCTTTTCTAGTATGCCAGCAACAATTGGACTTAGTGGTCTCAGTGGACCAATTTCTATACCTAAAAACACTTATAATGTCTATGTGTTTCAAAGTCAGATAAAGTCCTCAGTTTAGCTAAGAAATTCAGGAGTTTCCATAAAGTCATTTATTTTGGGCCACTCTACAGTAATTGCTTTGTTGTTTTTAAATAAAGAACAGCATTAATTGGGCAATGAAAAAAAGTGCTTGTGAATAGGCTGATTACAACATAATCAACGCTCTTAAGAGCATGACAATAACAAAACTTAAAGTACATTGGAGAATTCCAATAAATCAATATATTTATTTGAACTTCCATTTAACAAGAAAGTAGATTTTATTTAAAATATATCTAGATCCAGAAGCAAAGGCAGCAGGTTAGACCTTATGTAAGTTGTGTTGTTTTACTCAAGAAGAAAATATTACTGACAAAAGATATCAAAACTGCTTAAATTACCCACAGGACTAAAATCATTAGCAAAAGCTAATGTGTTTGTCTCTAGATCATTATAGCTCTGATGGATTATGGTTGGATATTTGGTTTGAAGTGTGTGTTGTTATTATAACAGCACTCATCGGTAAACAGTACTGAAAAGTGCTAAAAGTGGAGCATGAGTAGAGACAGTTTCAGGAGTAAAGGCACTTTCAGAATGAGATGAAGTGGAAGTGAATTTGAAGAAATAAAAGAGTAGATATTACATAAGCAACAGAAAAAAAAAAATTAATTGGGAATTTTTAAGTTTAATTTCAATTATAATTTTTTTTTATTATAAGTGTAAAATTACCTGGTCGTAGTCTTGATCCCAGGCCTTCAATACAGTCTCTATTATTAAAATAGAACAAAAGAGGGACAAAAAAAACCCAACAACAACACAAAACAAAGAAGAACTCAGAGCAAAATTGTTGTAGTTATGCTGGGCATTAGAGGCTGTAGAGGAAATATTAATATCTTACTCATCTTACTCATGTTTCCTCTAAACAAAGTCTACCCCATTTCACTAGTTTTTGACTGTTCATTCATAACTCAAATAAAGTTTACTTGTCCCAAGTAGCTTGACTTACAAAGTATATAAAGTATAGAAAATATATTATTTTCCTATTATATTAGACATATTTATTTTCCTATAGAATATATAATAATAAAATTTTCAAGAAGCTATGAAGAAAGATATGGTGTTGCTAATGTTTAAAAAGGGGCAGAGATGGAGAAAAAATAAAGGTGGTTGCTTCAGCACTCAGCCACTTGAAGGTTGCCACTACTGATTATAACAGGACAAAAGCTGGAAAGCTAGTGAGTGATAAGTGACCAACTGGATGGTTATGTTCCTAGCAAGAACATCTTTGAAAGCAAAAATAAAGTGATAGGTAAAGCACAGCTAGAAAAAGGGTGCACAGATGATGATAGCGTTGAAGGTAAAGGTATAGAAATGTGCCCTGTAAACGTGTTCTTGAAGGGCAATTGAGTGACTAGAATGTATGCAGTGCAACAGTGATATTGATTGCATGATTGCATGACAGTCCTATGAACTCAAGCATCAATTTAAGCAGACTACTCAGTAGCAAAGATTATATCTTAGAGATGTAAAGGCAGAACAGCTAGATAAATATATTAATATATATTCTTATACATATTATTCTTATATATTCTTATGTAAATATATTCTTGAAGGCAAGAAGTCTGAGAGACATGCAGGTTAAAGCAGAGGCTCAGATCTCAAGGTATTATTGGTCAGGATAGGTAGAACTAGAAGCACGGACAAATTTCCTTGTAGTTATACAGAACTCAACTGTAAGCTTCACAGTCGAAAAAAAGATCTTACAGAGATGAGCTTACAGAGATGAGCTATGATATAAAGCTAATTTCATTATTTGTAGCATGATTTTGCAGGTATGAATAAGAATATGCAAAGAAAAGATGCAGAATTAAGAAGACAGCAGATTAGGTGATAAAGCCATGTGCAATCCTTGGAAAAGTCCTTAAAAATAGCTTAAAAAAATAGGAGAATAGAGTCAGAAAAACACTGTTTTAAGAAGATTAATTTTAGATTAAGTGCCAGTGGTAAATAGCAGATAAAGAAAACAGACCCTGATTTGGAAGAGGTTATTAAGTAGCTTAGTAAGAAATGTTTAGTAATATTTTTTAAGTACAACTGGGCCTACAGAAACAGGAAAGGCATAAATGCAGTTATCATAAGGAAGTTAAAAGTTAAAAAGAAAACAATCAGGAGGTATTTTGCATGTGAAAGAAAAACAGTAATTAAGCTATAAGGAACAGAATCTATGGATTAGGACAAAGACACCAGAAAAAATAATGAGTGGTAAAGAATGCATCTGAGGCATTTCTGAACTAATTACATCAGGAAAAGAAAGATCTTTGCAGGGAGAATGGGAGTGGCCATACAATATTTTGTTTTGTTTCATTTATGTTTTGGAAGCAATGAGCAGCACTACAGAATTCCAAAAAATTAAGTTTGTATTGAAGGTCTACATGAAATCAAAGGGGTGTGATATTATTTGACAATATCAAACATGTAAACACAATTTTGCATGGAAAAAACAGCTGTGAAAAGATTCAAAACCAGAATTTTCTAATCAACTTACATCATTTTAATGATGATGTAGCAATGTCCACTTATAAAACTCCATCAGTTTAATGCCAGTCCTTAAATTATTCACATAAAGTTTCTGCGTGCAAACATGTTCAGGGTCTTAAAGCACTCTAAATATTGTAGGCTGATACAAAATGAAGTTGTAACAATGAACAAGGAATTGTTTAATGGAGGTAATTGTGCAGCTTTTCTGTTGTGAATTTACTGACTGTAACTGATCATAACAATGACAATTTATACAATCTATATTAAAATTATAAATAGTACGTACCTAATCTGAGGTTGTCTTTCAGAAGTACCAAGGTTTTGTTTTATGATACCTGAAACGAATGCATAAATATTGTCTCTGCATTCAAAAACAATTATATATATCTAAGATAATTCTTTCTATTTCTCAGATTAGCTTTGAAAATAACTTTTAAAAATCAGGGGTAGACAAACTAAATTCACATTTGCTGTTTGATGTGTCAAAAATGAGCTTGTGTTTTACTTCCAACCCTGCAGAATTCACAGAATTTCACTGAAACAAAGAACACATGCAGACTGCAGGACCACAGATGTATCTGGGTTAGCATTAAGTACTTAACTCAGTTACTGCTATCACCATAGTCACAACAGCATCTCTAGTCTGTGTAAGAACATAAAAAATTTGCCCATTTTCTAGGAGGACCTTGGATGGGTTGTCTAAAGCTTGTTTTACCAGAGTTTTATTGCCACCAGTCTATTAGTTAACTATTTAAACTTACTGCTTTAATAATTATACTGATTTTAAGACAAGAGTATGATGAGGTATTGGTCAAACACCCAATCAGCAATAAAACTGAACCTGAACATATATGTCATGTATTGCATACTGCCTAAAAATGTGAAAAAGGTGAGTAATATTTGGTGAAATTGATTATTTATGCACTTGGAAAGTACTGTCTTAAAGCAAGCATTTGTCTTAAGCTACCATCTTAAGCCTGAGACTTAAAACATTGCTACAAAACCATTTATTTGACACTAATTTTGACATGAGGCCACTCCATCCTACATGGTATCTCACTTTGAAAGGGGAGGAATAAATACATGCTTAAATCAAAAGATATTTCATCTGGCCAAAGGTCTAACTAGAAAATGAGGAAATTTATTTTTCCCATACAATCAATAATTTTCAATACAAATCCCCACCTTCTTGACTACATAAGATGTTCTTCCACACTAATAATATCACAAGCATTCCTATAAAACAAGAATAGTGCCACCTAGTCATTCAAATGTAGCTTAAAAGGCAAAAGATAACAAACTTCTTACACTATTTTACTTTCTGTTGGTATTACTACTACAGTCATTAGTTCTAGAACAATAATAGCTTTCAGAGAGCAAATATTTCTGAGAATCTTAAACCTTCTTGTGTTCAATCACATTTTCAGATGTGAACTGAAATATAAATCTTCTATTTTTCCTACTTACCTAAGATGCTCTGTCTTGAATGAAAAAAAAAAAAAAAAAAATCTTGCAGAAGGCTGGCTTCTGTCACACAGAATTCATTTAAACCCATCCCTAAATTATTTACCTTTTATTTAAATCAAACTTGTCTGCTTAAAATGAGACACACAGATTGAAAGAAAGAAAGGAAAGAAGAAACATTATTTTATTCCTTGCTCATGTTCGCAAAACAGCCATTGAAACTCTGTAGCAGTTAGACCAAAAGGTTTTCTGAGAGTACTTGCTGTACACGATAGCAAACAATGTACTCCCTTCTAGATGTAAAGATATTTCAATTAACTTCGACACAATAGATAGGAAAACGCAGCGCCTACTATCTAGAAAGCAAACAAGGACTTTCAAAAGAAAAAGCTATAACAGTTCCTATTAATGGAATACATAATTTACCTGTGTTGGATGTAGAAGCCATAATACAAATACAAAACTAAAATCTCCTATTGAACCTGAATAACATTGCTTGAGACTTTTTGAGATTGCTTTTGAATTACACTCAAAAGGCATTTTCCTATATCAAAAAATATAATATATTTAGGAAATATATGTAGGAGAAAAACTGTAACGGAAGGCACGTGGCTAGAATGCTAAGTTTGAACACAGCTGTTTCCTGAAATTTTTAAAAACAACTCCCTTTTTCCAGTATTCATATACTAAATTGGATCCGAAATACTATACTCTGTTTCAAATAAATGGTCTCTACCAGTAAAAAGCTTATATCTCAATTTTCTTGATCAGTTACTTGACTCATAACATTTGACTTGCAAATCTGCCAGCTTATATTTACAAGCACATGATATTTCACACCAAAGAGACTGCCTCACCATTCACTGTACATGACAAAGATGTAGTATTTTCTGATTCATATGCTGAAGTTAAGAAAATACATATTAAAATTTACCAAAGAAAACTAGAAATCATGCTGCAGAACATCACTAAACGCCAGTCAATACCCTTCAGCTCCCTTACTATCACTTATGCTAGAACCCCACTGAGCAGCCACAACAGGGAGAGAAGTCTCTTCATATTAGACACTACAAAAACATATTGGAATAATTTCTTCATTTACTAAGGACAAGGAGATTGACACATCTAAAAGCCATTACAACACATATTCACATATGTATACGTGCACCCATCAAACACTATCGACTTTGGTTATAATCCTTAGTCTTTTGTGTGAGTTATACTAATCAGATTAAGCCAGACAGAAAGAAAAAACAGATGTGTAGGAAAGTTAACTAGCATAAGTAATGAAGCACATAGTAAATTCTGACGTTCAGCCCAATGTATTGACTGGATCATATTTCTTTTCACCATGGTTACTCCTTTATAATGGATGGCAAGAGTAAGGCAACTTCTGTTTTGCTCAAATGCTTAACAAGAGGGAATTTCTCAGTTGATTATTTCCTGGAAAATGAAACATAGACCTTCTGCATCTTCCCTGTTTTGTGCCCATTGTTGCTAGGATGCAAAAGACACACAAGAACCAAACATTTTGATTAACATAAGCCTTCCTGTTCTGAATAGCTCTATGAAGATCCCTTAAGGACAATTTAAAAAAATCAGATGAGTCACCAAGAATTTTTCTGAGTGGTACTTCAGTGTTTAATAGATTATATAATAAAAGTAACTTCACAGCATTCATTGACATCAGAGCAAATAATCAAGACATGTTCCAATATAGTTCAGTATTTTCTCTTGCAGGCATCTTATCACATAATTTCAAGAAAAGAGCTTACAATGTGATATGAGTTGAAAAAAACTTGGAAAGATAGAACTTTTGCTTTGGTTTTCACTTTACTGTGACAAAAAAAAAAAAAAAAAAAACCCTCTGAGAATACTTTCAAGTGTAATCATTGATAGGAAAATTAAATCAAGATTTACAGACAATCTTCCTGAATGAACAGCCTTAATTAAAGAAGCAGCAACTTCTCAAATCATGAAATCCACCACAAACTATAACTGTTCTGAAAAATACAAAAAGCTCCGTGATCAGAGAACTTACAAGACACAAGGTAGCTGCTTTGTAAGTGCAGATTATAAATGCAAGTACAGTTCCACACAGCAGTTGACATCACCGAATAGGTATTTATTTCCTAACAAGTTTGTTGATGCTCACAAAAACAAAGTCGGAGCTAAAGGATGACTACTTCAGTGCCCCATCATTTGCTATGTACATGTAGAATTCCAATATTGACAGTATCCTAGTCTTGGAAATCTCCAATCACTGAACTGTATTCTTTTGACTCGTTTGAGCATTATCTGCACAAGACTCAAGTTCTAGTACTGTATGAATAAATAGTTTTTCAGAACATTCGAAGAAATCCAGAGAGTCTTAGAAAGCTATTCTACTAGAATATTCTGGCAAATCTGTGGTCTCTTGAATAAGAATTCTAAATACTATTTGATTTCAGAAATTTTGTCTGGAAAAAGGAGTCGTGAATCTCAACTTCTTTGATTACTGGTCACAAGCCAGTTAAGAGCAAGGATTCCTTCCAGTGCTAGACACACAAATGGTACGAGGTAACAGAAACAGTCTTGAGCAAGATACAGAATAGTGACAGGACTGTGCATTAAATCTTCTGAGCCTCATGAAAAGCTAGGAACTGAGCAATTCTGAAATTGATCTGTTGTATGCTTAACTTTTTATTGTGAGGAAGGTCAGAGGACAGGCATATTTACAAACTTGGGAAGTAGGATTTTTTAATAGCATATTTTGCAGACAACTAGTCTTCCTATGCCTTTCAGAAGCATTATTTACAATAGTACATTGTCCTCACTGCAGTGCAACTGGACATGATTCAAGGAAAGAAATTTTTTTTCCAAAAGGTCTTCCCAGAAATATACACTTAAATTCTCTCTAAATGTCAACTGACATTCTAGCTTTAGTGAACTACTATTCATTAAAATATATCACATATTTTCTTGCTGTTTGCTTTTACTAGTAGAAATGAAGTACAGTTACACCATAAATAAAAGCAAATAACGAGAAAGAATTATGATTAAGTCAAGATGCAGCTGGGAAACTTCTTAATTTTAAAATAAGAAAAATTTATACAAACAATAAGCTGCTACCATCACTTTTTATTGCTTTTTGACTCAATGACTTTATCCTCTGTTCCTTTATCTTTTCAAATTATAAGGATTTCAGGGAGTGGGAAGAAATACCTCTTCTACTACTGCCTCTATACATCTGAAATGTGCATAATCTGCTCCTGTAGAATTAATCATGTCAAGGAGCATGAATATGTTATTCAGATTCTATACAGACTGATTCTGACAATTTTAGGAATTGCTAAAGAAAGTGATCTTGTGGAACTGTGCTTTCTAAACTAAGAAAAAAAGTCTTTTTCTAAAAGCATAATTAAAAAGCAGAGGTATTAAGTTATTAAAAAACAGTTAAAATTTTTGGACTATAAAAAAAGCAAACTATCTGCATATCAGCTTCTGTACCACTAACAAAACAGCATAGCACATCCTTTTTAAAATAGCACCTACTTCTGAACTACAGGGATATTTTTCAACATTTAGTGATTATGATCACAATCAATACACCTGTAATTTAAACTCATCTTTTCCCGTTAGCACTTTCTGAGTTAGTTAGATAAAGTTGGTCACATTCTCCCCTGTAATGTTGATATGACTGACAAAACTATGTCTGATAATTAATACATTGTGAGCCAACTACTAGCAATCAATGGAGCATAACCCAAGCTGTACTGGAATCTATAATAATTTTGTTAATGTTATCTTTTCCTTTTCCATGAAAAGAAGAAAAATTTGCCAGCATTTATTGCAATTGATCCATACTGCTAAATTCATTGTATTAAACAGAACTACAGGTGATCTAAGATCTAAGTGCGACCTAAGTGTCACACTGTGCCTCTCTCTATCTGGTAACCTTATGCTGTTACAGTCTTAGCACAGTAGAGCAACAAAAAAATTCACCAAGAATAATTTGGTAATTAACTCTGGGCTGAGCAGCCATGCAGCCTGCAGAATGTTAGGCTATCTGGTTCAAATTATAAAATGATGTTAATGGATTTTAAGTAGAATTCACTCATAAGCCCTGCAGTAATAGCTAGACAGTTGGATTCATAGCAGTCACATTTCTTCAGTACCTGGGTCAAAATCTGAAGGAGGTCCAGCTAGTAAATGGCACTACAAACAGATTAAGTTATTTTATGGTTTTGAAGCCTGGAACCTCGTACCAATTAAATTTGTTAATCCCTTCACACTTAAAAGGACATTTTAAAGGATCCACAGATTTCGTGTCAGAACTTAATGGTATTAATGGAATTCTTTGATTATTTTTAGTTCTAATATCACTGTTCTTCTAGTATAAAATGTTCTTTAATTTCCACTAACATAATCAGAATCCTACCTCATTTAATAATTAGCTCATGGATTTAATAATTAGGTCATATTTGAGCAAGCAGCCAACAGTGACTACTGATGTCACTTTTTTTTTTCATACTTTGAGTATAATCCAAAATCTATTACTTAACACTTGACATAGGTGACTCCTAACTTTTTATCCTAAATAAAGGCAGAATGAATGCTGTGTTTTGTCACATAACTCCTTCTTAATTCAAATCTAAACATTAAGCATTCCTGCAATAGCATTCAATGAACTTACACAGCTAAATCTTGCCTCTATCAACTTTTTTTTTTACATTCACTAACTGGGCACCCCATTTCTTCATATGCATAGAATTATTGTTATTGAGACAAAAGTTTTCACATTATCTATCTTGTTTCTTATCCACTCCAATTATTTTATGCTTCAAATCTAAAACCAAATTCATTGTCAAGTTTCTCAATAATATTCCGTGTTTCATAGCCATTATTTGAAAATACAAGCATGAATTACATAAAGAAAATGTGATGCAAAATGAATTATACATATATATAGCATGATATAGAGGTACAATTGTTTTAGTTTTCTTTTACTTAGGGCCCGTAACAGCTGGTGACCTTGCAATGAATCATAAAACAACCTAGCATTTTAGAATAAGTGACTATTTTGCTATTAGAAAGCATTCGACCCTCTCATTCTTAAAGTTCCTTACCAAAAGCAGACTCTTTGAAATGACTTGAACTGGAACTACTTGAGTTGTCCAATACATCGAGCTCATCATCTAATTCTGAGAACAAATCTGCAAATAAAAATTAAAGCAAATTGTTTTTAATCCACTTCTGAGCAGTATACTTATATTTCCTATGCTTGTTTTTTTTTTGCTAACAACTACCTTTCTCAGAGTTCTCTAAACTGCTGTTGTCCTCTATCAGGATTTCTTCATATGTTCTCTTTTCGTGTTTTCTACACGTAGAATGACAATTCTCTGCCCGGATGCCAAGGTTTTCTGAAAAATCACTTCGGCAACTCGCTGTTCCAGTGGTGCTTCCTTGAAGTCTCAACTTGTCATAATGGTTCTGACAACAAAGAGCAAAAAGGAAATGTTAGACACTGTTCTTATACAGCACCCATCAGAAAACCTGTAAATGAAAGAGTCATGACTCAAGATAAAGATAGTAGGATCTCATACACAACCTATGGGAAATTAGCTTTATCTTATCTTAATAATAAGCAACTGAGTTCTGGACAACACAAAGCCTGCACAGCAGTCAAGCTGGTAATAAAATACGAAGTGAACTTGATGTGATGGGATGTGACATCACAGCAGAGAGATTCCACAAGGCTGAAAGGACCAAATGCTGGCTGGCATTACCAAAGCACAGCTAAGAAAATCAAAATATGGGATACATGTAGGTCACTCCAAAATATTATCTACTATTTATTTCCATGGAAACCACAAGAAAATGTACAACGTTATTTGACAGAGCAAATTCTCATCTACAAAACACTATTTTTAACACAGTCACCACCATTAACTGTGCATTTTGACCAGCACTGAGCAAGAGCCTGCATGCTGTGCTCATGAAAACCTGCACCAGTGGAGATGAATGTCAATGTCACTGTTATTGTTGAAATGCATCACCCAGCACCTCACTGCTCTCACATCCACTGTTTGGTCTCCAGAAACATTCAGCAAGCATCAGTGGATGTCAGTGGGTGCAATTGTTTCTGCATGGAGAAATTCAATTCTAGCCTTCTGCTTCATCTGCACTTCCATGTCAGACACCAGTTTGTCAAACTGCCCCTCTGCTGCCATCTGTCACACGGCAACAAAATGTTACAGAATATTGGTGGGAAGGCTCGACCTCTACTGCTGTACACCAAGACATGCCTCTGATATCATGGGCCAACATAATAAAACAGGAGGCATTACTTTCAGAGCTGCTCTGCCTGTCACATTTAAGAACTAAGTCTCATCTGTAGCAAAGGGTTCTTTAATGAATATAAAATTCCATTTCTGCAGCTCTCTTTGTTTATAGTTTTTCTGGAAAGAATAGAAATACTTGATCCTTGTTGTTTCTCCTATTTGAATGCAACAAATTTTGAAAGCAGACTGCTTTTATGATCTCTCTATAAATCATTTCAAGTCTTCTCATATTATTGCTGTTGTGTATCAATAAATTCATGTTTCTTCTAGTATTGCCAGCATAGTGTGTGATAAAGAACAAGAGATAAATTATGCAAATCTATCAGGTTACTCTGCCCATGGCAGGGGAGTTGAAACTAGATGATCTTTGAGGTTCTTTCCAACCCAGGCCATTCGGTGATTCTATTATTCTATATCCTGAAATTACCTTACTATTAAAGATAGTCATTTGTTTAACCTGATAGATTTTCATAATTTATCACTTGTTCTTTATCACACTTTGTGCTGACAATACTAAAAGAAGCATATAATACATTTCTAAGTAAGTCTGTTCTTGCTAGGTGTGTAAATAGCAATTTGGACTGTAAGGCAATTTTCTTCCCCAGTCAGTCCAATGAAGCATTTCTACCTTGCTGGAACACAGCAGAAGGCACATCCTGAAAACTACTGTTTCTTATCTGCATCCAAGCCACAGATTGTAAACATATATGACAGAAAAGTTATACTGAACTTGTTAAGTACTTCAAGTGTTTATTAAACTGAAAATGGGTAGTCAGCAAAACTTTTCGGGATCTCTTTTGACCTAGGTCCAAAACTGTCGAGCAAGTCACTGAATTCCAATGACAGTCTAGATGGAATATTGATTGAATGTGCACACAAGCATATCATGTCATATTACAGCACACATACCATATACGGAGTTGCATCAGGGAAGTGACAGATTTTGAAGCCAAATTTGGCATAAAGGAGCAATTGGGGAAAAAAAATAAAACAACACTAATTTTAAAGATGAAAAATGCAAAGATCTATACAGGGAGAAACAGTGTGCACAGGCTTGGAAAAGGACTGGCCAGACAGCATCTCTACATGAAAAGATATGGGGATTTTGATGGATAAGATATAAAGCATAAATCAGCAATACCATGCTGTTATGAAAAACGATCACACTGTGATATGTGAAGAGGAGAATAATCTCTAAGAACTATATAATCTTTCTACTCAGTACCAATAAGGTTCTCAGTAGGAGTAACTGAGTTCAGTTTTGACTAAACTTGAAAAAAAAAAAAAAAAAAAAAAAAATAGAGAGATACCAATGGAGAGATATGAGGATAATCAGACGTCTTAGTAGACACAAATTAGAAAGTCAGACTGATGGAATTTGATTATTTAGCCCAAAGAAAATAAATGACAGAGGAGACATATTTCCACATGATTTCCACTGAGAGAAATCATGCAGCTTAAGCTGTAACAAGTGCAATTTAAGTTAGACTTTAAGATCACCCAACACAAAGGAAGGACTTAACCATCTGAAATCCTGCAAAGAGAAGTGGGCACACTGTGTAATAGGTTTGAATGTGCTCTGTAAATCTAATGTTCTGTGGACTTGCTGAACTTACTGCTCTCAGAACAACTGTATGACAGTTAAGAGTGGATCTGCAAATTTCAGGATCATACATCCCACATATTTATGTCCATCTTATGTACATGCTTATGTCCATCTAATATCTCCCGGAAACAAGACAAAGATAGCAAGTGTCAAGCATACAATGTGAGACTAACATTTTCTTGAGAAAAAAAAAAAGACACAAACTGCAGATACAACATATAGCACAGTGCAGATGTGCTATGGACATGCCAAGGATTTCCAATTACTTCAGGACAGTTCATAGTTTTCCACACATTATCTTTGGATGGAATAAAAGATTGAGACGGATATACAATCACTGACAGTAAAGGCAGTTACTATTCATTCAGTTCTGGTTCCAAACTGTTCCCTAACCCACAGTAGTCTCCTTGGCATGATAGAGACTTTCTATCACTAAACATTTTTATGACTGAAGGGTGAAACACCTGTCAAGAGTGACAGGTAGCTCTAAGGCCTGCAGACTTGTCTCAAATTCCATGATTCTATTGAAGTACTTTGACATATACATTGAAGCTGAATTAAACATATAATATGTTCATCCTTAATGGGAGCGTCCTTAAAAGCAATAACTATTCCTTTTTTCAATGCCTGCTACATAAATTCCAAAACAGCAAGCTGCCAGAACAAAACCAATGGAGTGAAAGGTGGATGAAGAAAAGGCTTGTAGATTGCTAAGCTTCCATGACATCCCTGTGACCTCACCCATGATCAGGCCATATTGCTGCAACATCAATAACCTGTAACATTCTGGGTGATTTAAAGTCAATCCCTCTCTTTGCTTCAACCAATACAAAAACACTCGCTGTGTTCACGCACAGTTGTTTTAAGAAAAATTAAAGTAAAAAGTATGCATTTTCAGAGGATCACCGAAGTTGGAAAAGACCTTCAAGATCGTCAGTCCAATCATCCACCTACCACCAAAGCTTCTCCACTAAACTGTGTCCCTTAGTATAACATCTAAAAGTTTCTTGAACACCTCCAGAGACAGTGACTCAATCACCTCCCTAGGCAGCCTGTTCCAGCACCTGATCAGTCTTTTGGAGTATAAATTGTTCCCAAAATCCAACCTGAATCTCCTTCGGTGCATCTTGAGGCCATTCCCTCTCACTCTATCTCCAGTTTTGCAGGATAAGATGCCAATCTCCACCTCACCTCCTTTCAGGACACACTGATTGACTGAACAAATAAAATAGACAACCAGAGAAAAAGGAAACTAAAATTAACACTGGTCCATTTTTTCTTTCTGTATCTACACTGACAAGAAAAATAGATGAATTCAAACTAAACTGCTAATTAAGTACTACTTTGTAATGCAGGTGGTGATGCTTAGAAACTACCGTTATTATTAGCAGGGTCAAACTGCCAACAGTGCAGAAGTGAACTTGGGTGTGGAGGAAAATGAGTAGATGAAAACGGCTGAATCATTTTGATCTCCTTTGCCTTTCAAATAGCTGTGAGCCTGTCCTCCTTTTTTTAAAGCTGGATAGATTGACTACTGTTTTTCTTATCACGAGAGTTGCTAGTAGGCTGCAGAGTGGTTACAAAGGTATGGATTTGTAAACTACGAGTCTTAACTCTTCCCTTTTGGCCCCACGTCACTGTGAGTGAAGAAACAGACTGGGATAAAGAGAATTGATTCCTGTGGATATAGAAAAATGGGAGAAGTAACATGTTTTGCATTTAGAGGTATTCCTACAAAATACATCACAGTTATTTTCATTGTGGTCTTTCTGATATAAGTGAAATACAAAGAAGTCTCAACTTATCTGTAGAATTTAGATATGCTCTTTGTGTTTCTAAACCAGTCTTGAAAAGACATAATACAGTATTCTAATTATCTACACTTGGATTATGAAGGTAGATTACTCATGCCATGGATGACAGAAAACTGCCTCAGCCATTATCGGCTCTTTAAATTCAAATGTCCTGCTATATTGCTTCTTCCATTATTTCCAGACAATAAACAGACAAACAGTCTGCAAGAGAATAAGGCTGGTTTCTTAGTATGGCCTGGAATCAAGCTGCTGCAAGTAGAATAATCAGTGTATGTTTTTAGGCAGTATTGGCAGTATGTTTTTAGACATCTTAGTCTAGCAGAAATATAAAACCGTGATAGCTGCAAATCTAGGTCTGAAAGGACTGGTGCTTACCTGAAGATAAAAATTCTATCTAGAGGTAAGACTACTCATCTTAGGTCTCTATGCCATGCTGTCTAGCACACTGGATTATGGAAGACCTATCAGTTAAAGTGTGAAACCAGAAAAATTACATAGAAGCTTTTATGTTGCTAATGAGCAGTCTTGTGCATTTGAACCTTAGGACAACGCACTCAACTAATGGTAATCTAAATGGACCAGCTTAGACCAAACACAGTTAATGAGTGATCCCCTGCGCTGGATATGGATGTACTCCAATAGATTGCACTATGTCCAAAACCCCAAAATTGTACATACTTATTCACTGTTAGTATCCCATTGGTGCACAATTCAGAACTTATCTGCATATATGAATTTCTATCTATGGATTTTAAAATAAAAACTGTATCCAAGTGACATTACTAATACAAGTAAAAGTCAGCTTTACTTCCCAAACAAAGAAATATTACAAAATCCTGCTATAGAGAAAAAATGTGACAGACCTTGTGTGCCAGATGCACAAACCAGAACCACAGAAATGGAGAAAAGGAAGCTTCTCCCCAAAAATATGTTAAAAATGGGCAGACTTGATAGACTGGCTGCTGAGAGTAGCAGGAGGAGTAAGTGGTTTTTATTTTCTTATAGTTATATTCTTATATTACAGTTATATTATATATAGTTATATTCTTATATTATAGTTGACAAATTGCTATCACAAAATTTACAGGGCTTTTTTTTTTTTCTCAAAAAAATGCTATCAAAATCATATTTTGTTACTCTTCTACATCTTTAAAAGAAAATATAAAAAACATACTTTTATTATTAGTTATTAGGGTTTAGATTTGGCTTGGATGTCAGGAAACTCAACTTTACCACTAGTCTATTTGATCACCTTGCACAAACTACCTTTTTCCTCTCCACCTTTTCCTACCCAGGGTACAAAAATATAATATTGACTACCTTGAAATGAAAGGTACTATCCAAGAGACAATAACTACCATTACAACTACTGTGTTAGGTTCTTGTACCCCGTGTTATGTCAGCAAATTTTCGCCTTTCAGAACAGAAAACACTAATTATATTAAACACCCTTTATTCTTACAACTGCACCTATTATTACATCAACAACAATGTCTATGGAAGACAATGAAAAATAAAATCATATAAGTGAAAGCTGATAATTATTGTTTATTTTTATAATTATTTTCAAGGATGGATTTTATGCCATATTTGTCAGGCGTGGTGTCTATGCTTCTTCAGCATCATCTGCTGACCAGTCTGTCACACTGCCTATTGATCAGTTTCTATACTGGACTTAAGCTATGTATGAAAGATTCTACACTGGCTTTAAAAGATATATGGTGTATAGTTCCATAAGCAAGGACACAGAGCATGCTCTTTATTTTGGAAACATTCACAATATGACACAATTGGGATGAAAAAGGAGGCAAAAAGTACATTTCAGTAGAGAGAAAACAAAGTATAAGGTAGCTGGCTTCAACAAAGCATTGAACTACATGGCAGAAACACTGAATTCTCTGACACCCTGGAAAAATGACAAATTACCTAGCTATGGACTTGCTGGAGCCTTGACTAAGATTAATTAGGCTGTCCATACCTCACAGTTTTTATTTAAAGATCAGCTGCTTGAAATTCTTCCTAATAAATGAAGTCAGGATATTGTCCTTTTTTGTAAATAAAAATTTTCAGGAATAATTATTCTTTTTATTAGAAATCCTCCAACTTCATAAAGTTTCTCTTCAATGCTGAAAGCAAGGAAATAACTTGGCTCCTTCTAATTCTAAGCTCTGTAACACCCCTAAGATATCTGGAAAAATCCCATCCTGATATACTGTCTTATTTAAAACAACTTACAGCCAGGTCTTCCACTTATCATTAGTGAGCCATACTCTCCCAGTTTCCATGGAGTTCTGGATCTTTCCCAGACTCTCCTGCTGTATCTGTTTCATTTATTATACAAAATAAAGTATCCACTGGAGTGGAAATAAAATTAATGCATTCCTTCCTTAAGAAGACTAGCCATTTTACCCTAGAATACAGAGGGACTTTCCTTCTCTTTTTGTATACAGGTGTATCTTTTTTTTCATTTATTTTGTTATGTATTTATACAAATCTAAGTTCAATATAAAGTTATTAGTCATATCATATTATACAAGTATTTGGATAGATCATTCTTCCCTAAAAGCCACTGGCAACATTTTATTGAAAACAAGGTATAAAACAAACAAAAATTTTGTACTTTTAATAACAATTTCTACAGTCTCAATCAGACATGAAGAAAACATATTGAAAAAAATCCATGAGTGCAGGACAATGTGTTCCTGAAAAACTCTTTACTACACAGAGGTTTTTCAGTGCAAACTTCTGGCCCATGATCAAAGGAGTCAGTGTTTCTAACAGTGATACAACAGTTGGACAGACAAGAGCAGTGGTGTAAATTATAATTTTACTTTATAACTGCTCTTAACAATAATTATCACAGTGAGGTTTTACCACACAAATAAATTGTGCTTGTACTTTTTAAGTAAATTCTCCAGGATCACATAGAAGTTTGGTTCATCATGTAAAATACTGATTTACTTCATGATGAGTGCTTAAAACAGCCTGTAGCAAATAAAAGAACATTAAGAGGTGTACTCACAGAAGTGTATCAGACAGTAAGAAATTATTAACAAATACCAGCATCAATGCTCTTTAAATCTGTAATTTAAAATCATGTGTGTATTTTCCATTTTTTAGATTCCATTATTTCAGAATCATACCCAAAATTATCAATGTTCCACTGTAGTGAAATCTCATTCACAAGTGCAATTAAATATTTATTAGTAATTAAATATTAGTTACTATTTATTAGTAGTTAAATACTGTCAGATTCTATCAAATCAGGAAGCACCTCCATAATAATTTCTAATTCTATTTTCATTTTCCTATTGAAATGAAAGCACTTTTTAAGGTACTGTTATTTTTGCTGTATGAGGATGCCCACAAAAAAAAAAAAAAAAAAAAAAAAAAAAAAAAAAAAAAACAATGAATGAATATCTAGGTGAAAATAAATTAAAAATCCAGAATGTAAAATGTTTTAAGAGAATTGGTCTTTTCAGTTTTGTTTATTTTTTCTGCCTCCTTTTTTTTTTTTTCTTTTTTTTTTACCTTATTTTCTTAGATATGGCAAACAGTGATAAACAAAAATAAAGCTTAATGCACGTACTTACTTGTGGTAAAATAGAAAGCTGATGTTGACAGGCTGCTGCATTTCGGTTTGCTTCCGTGAAGTACCTCTGGGTTCGTCTTCTCTCCCGATCCAGTTTCTTCTCCAACATGAGATGGGAGGTAGATAAAACATCCAAATATTTCATCATCTCATCAGACAGCAGCGAACTGACCTCCACTATGTCTGGACGTTTCTCTGCATCAGGGGTCAAGCACCTATAAAAAGAAACATTCTCTAATGAAAGCTAATTACTTCCTTCTAAAAACTTTGCTACCACTGCATTCCTCCATTGATAATTATCAAACCATGGCAGCCAGCACTTGGGACAAAACAGAAATTTAGCAAGGGAACAATTTTTATTTCTTACGCTCTCAAAAATTAAAAATGGATGCACTTCAGAAAGGCATAAATAATTTTACACAAAAAGACTGAAGAGAGAACATCTGCTAGCTTATAAAAATGTTATTTCAGAAGTCTTCATAGTGAGAAATTTATCAAGCAGTATTTTCCCATTTGAGGTTGCAACATATACAGCAAGATAACAGAGATGTAGAAGTTGTCACAACAGACAGCACAGCAGGGACACACAGGGGCCCAGAAGCTCTGCTCAAGCCTATAGGGGACAGTTCGACACAGAAGCTTTGGTGTTGATACACCAAAGGCCATTGTAGAAAGACTACCAAGACTCATCTGACCCTTGGCTCATTACCCCCTTTCTGCTCATCCATACAGACGCCAATTTATCCCTAGGGCTAATTCTGAAAATACCAAATGTGACTTCAGAGCACTGGGATAGAAGAGAGAAGGACAGGGAGCTGAAGTGGCGATCCTCAATTCTTTCAATGAGGGGAAAAATGTCGAGTCAGGGAGGAAGCAGCCTGCCGGTCAACAGCTGGCTTGGTATAGTCAAGAGCTTATGGGCAGGAATTACAGGAACAGACAAACATTATTTTAAATACTTGCTGTATTTATGACACAAAAGACAAATATGTGACTGGGAACAGCTGGAATGGATTTATTGTGTTCCAGTCACATCTGACTAGTGTGACTGCTCTCCATGATGAGAGATAGCTGCTCTGTAGACAGCGGGAGAGCAGTATACGCTGTGGATACCTTTACTGCAGCAAAGTCTTTGACGTGATATTCCACAGTATCCACAGGATTATAGGTTAGGTAAATAACTGCCTGAAATTATTGGCTCAAAGAGGTGTTATCAGAAGTGCAAAGTCCAGGTGATGGCTGAAAGTAGCATTCTTCAGGGACTGGGTACTGTTTAACATCTTTATTAATAGCCTATGCAACTGAATGAATTCTCAAAAAGCTTATGAAAACTAAATTGCTGGGAGCAGTTGATACAGAGAGAGATAATAAACCTTGATCAGTGAGACCTGAGCAAGATACACAGAGCTGACTGCTATTTATTTAACGGGATAGCATAGAAGCTAAATGAATGAATTCTCAAAGCGGATAGGGAAAGAGGTAATATACACAAGCAGCAAAACAGGAAAGTCCAACTATATATGAGGATGTATTAATACTTCTAATCTAAAAGGTGAACAAGAACTGGAAGAGGATCTAGGAAGGTTGTAGGATCTCCATCTTTCAAGACATTCAAAGCATTGACTTACTTAGAGAAGGCTTGAAAGCTGATAGACACACTTCTTCATGTACTATAAACTGTCTTAAATCTAATAAATCTGGTGATCTGATAATTTTCTATTATTTGCATGTAGAGTAATAGTTACCAATTAGCATACATTGACCCAACACTCCTTCTTAAAGAAAGTATCACAGAATGATTGTATTATTTCTAAAATATTACTTTCTAAAAAAAAAAAAAAAGAACGCTCTTAAAATGGTTTAATCCAGTAAAATTGGATCTTAATATTGACCATAATACTGAGTAATGACACTACTGAATGCAATTTTTCAGTTATAAAATGAAGTTTTCAATGTTTTCTAATCCTTATAACTTTTTTAAAAAAACGTATTCCTTTTATCTTTCACAGGTATTGTGTTAAAGTTACTCAGAAATTAACTTCTTCATTTCTGATAATGTTTTCTCATCTGTACTATCAGTAAGAATTCCCTATTACTGAATTTCTCTCATGTTCTCTATTCTATCTAAATATCTCACAAAAATAAACTAATAGCTAAACATAATATCTCATTTAAGGATTAATCCATAGTAAGAGAATAAACAAACTTTTCATGCTACCCACTGCTTTTTAGAAAAGCTGGAAAATGCTTACATTACAGGAGAAAAATAATGTTAATTTTACATGCAGATACCTATTTAATCATCTATTTAAACCAGCTAATCTTAGTAAATAATTAATATATCAGCCAATCTCATAATTATATGGGACTTAGAGTAGGCCTACTTAATACATGTCTGTATCTATAATTATAAAGAGTAAATCAATAGCTGACCTTCAAAACAATCTTTAAAAATTTCCACTATAGAGTTTCTTGTCATCATCAACAATGAAAAGGAGAAGATAGAGGGACCAGATTCTCACATACATATCAATACTGATATGTATTTTGACTTGAAGGCTGGAACCATTTGGGAGTACTACTTTATTCTTAAATGGTGACTAATTAATTAGTAAACCCAGTTATTCCAAATACAAATACTTGTAAATATTCAAAACATTTAATGACCTTTTAAATCTTAGTTCTATTCTATTAGTTCCTATCCTCTTTGTTTTTCTTCATCCTCAGGGTTCTTAAACAATAGAAATCTTTTTGTGCAAAAAATATAATACAAAAACGTTACATTCCTTGCACTATAAAGTGCTTTTGAGAAGTGGAATTCAACACCTGACTGAAAAAGAAAGCTATTAAAGCTATTTTTGGAGTTTTTCTAAAATGGGCACTCAAGGGAGCTAAATGTTTTAGTTTACCAACTCACTTTCTATACTCACACAGTGTGCCTCATACACTTATTACATTAACACCAGGAACATGTAATTGTAACTAAACGAAATATGTGATGAATGAGTGAAACAAATACAGGTTCTTCTTTTCCTCCACTACTATGTTCTGTCTTCATTAACAGAATTAGAAGGTAGCAGGAAATGTACTACTATCAGTCACAAAACTATGAATGTCATCATATAGTGATCTACAGCTGTACTTGAACATTACTTAAAATGCTGTAATTCCATGTAAAAAAAATAATCTGATGTATAGTGGATTAACTAGAGCACTAGCATATTAAAATTCAGTACTGAGTCTAGCCTGCTGTATGTGATGTCCCCCAGAGGCCCATAATGGGACCAGTGCTCTTCAATATCTTTGTCAATGGCCTGGACAGTGGGATTGAGTGCAGTCTTAGCAAGTTTGCTGACAATGCTAAGGTGAATGGTGCACTTGATATAAAAAAAAAATGAAAGGATGCCATCCAAAGGGACCTGAATAGGCGTGAAAAGTGGGCCCTTGTGAACTGAATGAAATTAAGCAAGTAGACTGGGAGAAGAACACCTTGAGAGCAGTGCTGTGGAGATAGACTTGAAGGTCCTGATAAGCAAAGAGTTGGACCTAAGCCATCAGTGTGCACCTGCAACCAAGAAGGCCAGCAGTATCCTGAGATGCCTCAATAGAAGGTTGGCAAGCAGGGCAAGGGAGCTGGTTGTCCCCCTCTACTCTGTCCTTGTGAAGCCCCATCTGGAGTACTGTGTCCAGGTCTGGGGACCCAAGACAAGAAAGATGTGAAGCTGCTGGAGCTGGTCCAGAGGAAGGTGATCAGAAGACTGGAGCATCTCCCTTATGAGGAAAGGTTGAGGGAGTTGAGCTTGTTCAGCCTGGAGAAGAGAAGGCTCTGGAGAAACACTGCTTTCAGTACTTGAAGGGAGTTTATAAGCAGGAGGGAGATCTACTTTTTACACAGGCAGACCATGACAAGACAAGGGGGACCAAACTTTAAAATAAAATAGGTTAGATTTAGGTTAGATAGTAGGAAAAAAGCCTTCACTCATAGGCTGGTGAAGCCCTGGCACAGGCTGCCCAAGTGGCTGTGGATGCCCCATCCCTGGAGATGTTCAAGGCCAGGATGGATAGGGCCTTGGGCAGCCTGTTTCAGTAGATCTCAGCCCTGTCCATGGCAGGGGGGTTGGAATTGAATGATTTTAAGATCTGTTCCGACCCAAGCCATTCTATGATTCTCTGAAATGCACTGTCTTACACTGTCATGCAGTTGTTAGATTCACCTATACTGAATATGTTACTAGCATACTACTTTAAATCAGTAGACATTTCATATTCAGAGACAAATACTAGCAGTTGCTGAAGTCAGCCAAAAAAATAATACAAATAAAACAAATATTGCAGCAAGAACAAAACAAGATTTACCTCTTAATGGTAAATGATACTTTTTCAGAGTACAGTCCGTCTGGCACAGGTTCATACACAGCCCCTACTATCTGTAAAATAAAATACCTATTGTTAATTGAAAAAAATTCAATGTTTTATTTAGAAATTTCATATGATACATACTTCTTGGAACAATTTGATGAGTAGGCATTACATCATCAACTTTAACTTGCAAAATAACTTAGAACACATCTTCTAATGCAAAATATCACTTCTAATCAGGTATCCACATTAATGTACATAGCCACTGTAGATCAGGGGACTGTAATATCTGAGTAAGGGAAACAGTTACAAAAAACAATGATTTCTTCTTTTATTTTTAATCATATCCAAATGTCCACACAACTCTACAGGGTAATACACAACCCTATAGAAAACGCGATATTATAGTGATAAGAATTTTTATATCTAAAAATCCTATTACATAATGCAGCAATAAAAATATATCAGTCTGAGAAGTACTTATATTTACAAGCAATTTTTGCAAGTAGAATGGAAAAACCGTAACTGATACTGTGAAGAATGCTCCTGCTCATTCACACATCAGAGCAGAAAGCATTTTGTGCTTCTACAGCCTTAAACACAAATTTTCACGGACCTTGTGATCACATGTAGGAATAATGGGTGAGTTGATCTGGCAAATCGGAATACCTTAGTTGCCAAGGAGAGCATATTTGTGCTGTAAAACGGTGGGTTCAGAGTTGCCATCTGATAAAGGATACATCCTGCAGCCCAGACATCAGCTTTCTCTCCATATGGCTCACTCTTTACAACTTCAGGGCTAAGTGAAAAGCAGTGCAAACCATAAGTATTTAATTAATAGTTTTCATTGAGCATTAGCCTCAAGTAAAAAATAAAAATAAAAAATCACTAGTCACTGCAATATATCTCCAGAGCTTATACAGTTACTTTCAAAAGGTTGCATTTCCTTTACTAGTCGAATTCTTTAAGTGGAAATACAAAATTATAATTGGAGTTAAGAGGTACTGCGCAAATTCAGTTACTGATGCAGACTGGATATGGTGCTAGAAGGTGTGCTGCCAGTTTGTTCAAAACAAATGAAAAAAATAAATTTTAAACAAATTAGCTGACATTTCTTAGATAAATTGTTATGTGGAAATGATATTAAGTGATCTTAATAGAACATAAATTCAGAATGGAGGTCACTGTGGGGAAGTGATGTAGTCTGACAGGTCAGACATTTTTGATGAAATTCATCAGGCAAGATAAAGATTCCTGTGTGAAAGTCATTAGGTACTTCCCTTTAATTTTGCTGCTGCTATTGTAGAACCATGGAGATGAATAAAGGGTATTGAACATGATGTTAAAACATAACACGTTCTCTAGAGTTGGACTGTCATTACTCCTCACTGTGATACCAGTTCTTCAGAAGGCCTTGAAGAACTTTCATTTTGATACATTAAATATGTCCATTAGAGTGAGGATTGATGTGGCAATTTAACATACAGATGGTGATAGTGTGGTTTTGCATAGCAGTCACTGAAATAATATGTTGAAGACAGAAGGCCATAGGGACACACAGAAGCAACCATGACCTGCTCAGCGGAATCTTGTATTAATGTATGAGGCAGAACCTAGTTTGACTGTCAGAGTAAACATCAGCCCATTGGGGTGGTGGCTAGCAAAAACACATTTATTGCTACCATGATTTGGAAGTTACAGAAAAAAATACAGTGCTGATAGGTTTATGAAGGTTGTAGTTTTAACATGGTTCCACAAGAACACATAATTGATTGAAATTATTGAAAATATGTGGTCTGTTTGTTCATGCTGAAAGATTTCCTATTCTAAATACCTATCTAATCCTTTCTTCTTTTCTTTTCTTTTCTTTTCTTTTCTTTTCTTTTCTTTTCTTTTCTTTTCTTTTCTTTTCTTTTCTTTTCTTTTCTTTTCTTTTCTTTTCTTTTCTTTTCTTTTTTTTTTAATCAAGAGGAGGACTTCCAGAGGAATACTACTTGGTCATTTCTTCCAGAACAAAAGTCTGATATTTAGCACGTGAAGATGGCCAGCACCTTAATGTACATACAGTCTCATAGAAATACTTAAGAAAAATGCAAATGACTGAAGTGAAAGTTACATAATGTGACCACAAAAGTGATACAGAGGTTCTAAAATCCTAAATGTATATGATACTATGCTTTCATAGCTAATGAATTCAATACTTTAGAATTTTAAATAGAAATTTCGAATATTATTTATTTACTTCTAAGAGATGAAGTGGTGAAATTCCTCACCATGTTCTAAAGGCAAACCTCACCATCTGCTAGTTAGAAACGTGGGTGAGGTACAGTACTTGTTGACTAGTAAAACAGTTTTGCAGTCAAGCTGCACCATTTGGATCTATACTATTGAGTGATGTCAAACAGAAAGATCCCTGTTTTGTTCCTGTGTTCAGCTGCCCACTAACAGGAGGATGGTGGGAACACATACAGTTTATCTAATTCAGGTGACAACTGTGTATAAACTCTTACTGTCTGGTCAAGACCAGAAAGAACGAGTAGAACCAGACTGACATTTATTCCATAAAAATTCTATAAAAGTCTCTCTTAGTAAAAAGTACAAAATAATGATTTAAGGGAGTGACATTGGTATGGTCTCTGGTTTACTTGTAAAAGCGGGTCTTTGATTCTTAGATTAAGAGATCTGGATTGGATGAAATAGAACAGTGGCACTAATTAAATTTCTAGCAAACAGATGTCCACATCATAAAATGCATTCAGTGTAAAAATAAAATACTTAAATGGAGAAACTCTGAGAGCTGATAAAAAATTACCACTGCTTCAGAGGCTGATGATACTGCTGCAAAGCAGCAGTGCAAATGCTATACTCTATGATACCCACAGTGTCCGATATTAAGAGAGGCAGCAGGTACTTTAAAAATTAGTCACTTTGTGCTTGCAATTAACTTATTCATAATATTCACTGCAGTTTTCTTCTAACTTTACACATCACTGCTCATTTCCAGATTGTATATTCATGCCAAGGAGCTTACTTTTGCTGCATTGTTATCAAGGAGAGTCCTTCGCTGAATGAATGTCCACAGCAAAAGCAAGGCTAAATTCTTCTCAATCAGAGACACAGAAATACATCCGCAGAATAATTCTCTAAATTCTCAGTATCCTTGAATAGACTGATCTATAATTGCTTCTCAGAAAGCTCACTCCTGCTCATCATATCCACATATAATGACAGTCTACACAAACAGCCTGAAAATGAGTCTTGAACTTGATTATGTCATCAATTAATCCAAAGAGTTATCTGTTTAATCTTCTGAATTATTTTTGCAAAATTAAAGACCTAATTTAGAAGCTAATTTAATATTTTTTATTAGGGTAAAAAGCAAATAAAAATTAAATCTTATCAATATTGGTTCTATTTATAAAGCAGAACCATTTCAGCAAATCATCTCTATATAGCCTCGGAGACGTTTTTATAATCAAACTTGCTTTTATAACTTTAGCCACTGATGCTATTTTGTGATATTTACTGAAAAATACTTAGAACTTCACAAGCAGATTCCGGATTCTCTACACTAACACTATCACATATCTACATGAAATATGACTGTTCTCACAGGATAAGCTCATGATCACATTAGTTTTTACTGGATAGATGTTCCAGTATGAAGGAAGAAGTCCTGAATTTGGAGAGGAAGGAAGGAAGGAACTGAAAGAATTACTTTTTCAAAACAGCATTGATTTTCTAGAGCTTCTAAAGCTTCTAAGAAATGTTTTCAATACTATCAGGCTGACTTAACATGAGACACAACTGATGAAGATTTCCCATGCTGCAGAGAACTTCAATAAGCCAATTTTGAATTGTTTTGGTACAGTGCTCACTGCTCAGTCTAACAGTGTTTCTGACAGATGTAAATACAGGTCGGTTTGTATTTGACTCTGTAATACGAGGCATACCTTCAAATAAGACATGATTTCTACTAGACAGTTATGGATTAATTAAAGAGTGAATCCTCCCAGAAAGGAGATTACGATATTATAAAAAAAAGGTCAAAGAAATAAAAGCAAATACAACTGCAGAAGATTTTAAGAATGAATGATAATTATTGCTTTTATCATAATAACTCTTTCAATTCATCCTGTACACTCTGATAGACATTTCTGCAGCTACTGGTGGTACTACAAATACTCACAGGCACCATATGTGGTTCAGGAAGCTACCCAAGCCATATATAGTTGGAGGCAAGAAGAGTACAAAATATGGTTATCCCATTCTTCTTTCCCTATGGAGATATACAAACTGGCACTGATGGAAATGGGACAAGAGGAGAGATGACAGACAAGATTGCTTTACTTTTTTTTTTTTTTTTTTATCACATATAATGAAAAAATATAGCTTCTATTAGCTTCAGATATTGAGATCTCTTTATTAAGGTAAGATCTATACAATAATACTTGCTTGTAGTGGATTGCCCTTTTAGTTGTTGTTAGTTGCTGGTAGAACTCATTACAGCAAAATAGAAGAAGGAACTTAAATTTAAGTTCACGTGAAAGATTCTGCTTTTCACTAAACTACTGCAGAATGCTTTGTGAGTATTGGAGAGTAGTATGAAAAGAACATAGCTTCTCTATAATCAGTCCTCTGAATCACAGAACAGTAGGTGGTGAGGGAGAAAAGCAACTCATCCTAGCTTCCCAAAGATGAAAAATGAAAAAGTTGATTGTAATAATCTTTTCTCTGGATGTTTTGCTGTAAGCTATAGGTCACACTTAGTACGTATGGTAGGTTCATAATTACTAGAATAGCAACAAAAGAAGGAACAGGAGCCATACAACTGACAATTCAAAAAAGAGATTCTGTGAAAACTGTTAAAAGCTATTTGCTTTTCTCACCTACAAGAAGCAGCCTTTTGGAGGTAGTCTATTCTGTCTGTCCCCGGAGTGACAAAGCTGGAACAGCATTTTCAGTCTCTAGTTTTTTTTTTTTTTTTGCCTTCACAGCTCTCTATTTTGAAATTTATTGCCAAAGAATTCTATAGTAATTTCTTGCATTATCTACCAACTTGCATTTTTATTTTTCTCATTAGAAATTCTTAAGTAATTATATTTGTAAACTATTATACACAGCTATTACACGTATGCTTTTTCCTCATAAAACACACTCCTTCAAACATCCTAAGCCTCTTTGACTATAGAAAATTAATCATTTCCACCAATATTTAAAATGTACAGGGGCAGGGATGAAATTTGCTATCTTTGGTTTGCCATTTTACAGTGTAATAAATCCTTCTGCCACCAGATGGTGAATGTAATTTCAAAATGGGTGAAGTCAGCTAGGAGAGATAACTTTCGCATGTATTATCGCTCCCCTTAGTATAATCTCAATAGTTTCATTTTCTAGAGCAAGCATTACCTTTCTTTATTAAGAAAGTTAGTTTACTAATTATTAATTATTTGCAGTCAAGTAAGCTCTCTAATTTGGTCTGTCAATGTGTATTTACACGTTTGTGTTGACCTAGGAGTGGCATAGCTGATTTTATTTTTCCAGTTATTTTTTAACTTGAATAATTTCACTGCAGCAATTTGTATCACAGTCTTAAAAACAACTGAAGCTGACAGGCCCCATTTTTTTTGTTGTTTTTTTTTGTAGGGAGGGGACATAATAAACAACTGCCGTAATAGAAATAAAAATAGCTTCTACTGAAACAACTGCCAGGTTTAGCCTTAGTTTATAATGTTCAGTTGAAACTTTTTTTTTATCCTTTTCTAAGTAAGAAAAGAATAGTTAATCAAAATATAACTA